ATGTTTTATATATATATATATATATATATATATATATATATATATATATATATCTTTTGATTATGGTGGGCACATTATGGTCGGATTGATTTTACGTGACAATATTATAATAAAAAAAGACCGTTTTGTTCTTTTGCTTTGAAAACACCCTCGAAGAAAGTTGGCTATTTCTAAATTAATACCACCCAAAAATAATCCTCTTGCATTTGATAAACAAATATTTAGAATGTTTTACTATAAAGTAATGAAAATATATATCTTACATTTTTAGTTATAGGTATGAATAAATTGTTTGAGAGTGGGTTGGAGACTCTAGACGTTCCAACTTTTGGTTGATAAATCAAAAAAGAATTAAAAGACCCGACTTCTTAACTTTTTTTAAAAAAATCATTCATTTAACATCTCACTAATACTTGGTATAAATAATTGGGATTGGACCCCATATATTCACTTTTTTATTTGTTTTATTACTTTGTACAGTTCGTTGAAAAGAAAAAAAGGGGAAATAGTTGATAAGAAATTATTAGTGTATTTCTTGAATGGGAAAACAGTCTTAATTTTGTGATTTAGAATTGATATCTCTTTTTATTATAAAGTAATTTATATATATCCCTACTGTTACACATTTGATCCAGATATATGTTGGTTCGAAAGTGATTAGGGAGTCATGCGCAAGCTTACAATTGCAAATCATAGAATTGATAAATCAGATAACAAAAACTTATACTAAAACATAATATTATTATATGAAAACTAATATAAAAGAATATTATTAAAACTGTTGAGATATAAATCACTCCATGAACAAAATTCTCTAAATGACTATATTGTGGATGCTATTGTGTTATGCTATGAGAATATGTATCTTCAATTTTGTAGATTTCCAAACTTTTCCTCTAAGGAAAGAATAAACCAAATATGGAAGAAAAAAATGTTTTCCTTTTAGGATAGTTAAACATTTATGGTAATACTTTGTTTTTCCCTTTTGTAAAAAATAAAACTTAAAATATGATAAGAAAATCAGAGCAAAATCCTAACAATATATACTCTCTTGGTCTAATGGGAGTAAGAAAAACAATTTTAAATGTACTTTTTTGGTTTATTATTTTGATGTTCAAATATTTTCCACTCATTTTCTTGTAAAATTTATTATAGATGCCCCATTAAAATAAATTCCAATATAGTCGCAACTCAAACAATAATAATAGAGATATATATAAAACTCAAAATAGCTGCTGAATTTAAAAAGTAAAAAGAAAATGTCTGAGAAAAATAAAATATCTCTCATCTTTGATAAAAGGATCATATATACTCCTACATAGATTTCTTTAAAAATTTTAAAAAAATTAAATAAATATCTTCATTTTTCATTAAGCAAAAAGGGGCAATATAAGTCATTTTGTAATAGGAAAAATATATATAAGAAAACCATTATAACGATAAAATTATAAGTAAGCCATTTTTATAACAAAAGATATATTAGTTCTAAATTGCAAAATTGAGATATATATCAAAAACATTTCTCCCCTCGTAATTTCGGTAAAGTAGGGTGGGCCGTGGGCCCATGAGTGGGTCAATTCAATGAATGATTGGGCTTGAGCCCCGATCTTATAGTGGGAAACATAGAAAACTTAGTAGGCTCCAAATTTATATTGATTTAAAAAAGAAAAATCACCCCACATATATATTTAAGGGGTAATATTACGGATTTTAAGTCTACTTTTAAATTATTTTATTTTTTTGGTAACAACTGTAAATATATTACCATAACCAACAAAAAGTACGAATACAAATGAAGAGCACCTTTCTCTGATAACAAAGAACAGGGTTCTACCAAATCATAAGAAAACTAAATATACATTAAATGCTGAATAAAAGTCCTACATTTCATTGCTTTCTTGGAACTACTAAGTAACTGTAACCTTTCTCTGATTTCCTTCTTTATCTGTGCAATTGCCTCATCCGTCTGTATACATGTGCCTTTGTATCGCCTCCAATTTCTGGCACGCCAAGTGTGATAAATGATACTTTCAAAATATTATTGCTTATAACAGTTTAATTACGGGTTATAACATATCACTTTTTATTTATAAATCAACTTAATTTTACTTTATTAAATAATTAGTCTTTTATAATTTTATTTTTATTATTAAATGATATAAATAAAGAATCTACCATAATTATCTCTTACACATTTTTAGAGATTTTACCTTGATTCTCGTTCTTTTGTTATTAACACATTTATTAACAGATCAGTTTTAATTTATAAATTAATTAATTATATTTTATTAATTAATTTATATAATGTTAATAGGTGAGAGAAAGAGAAAATTATGAGAGAGAATAAATTCATAATTATCAATTACACCTTTCGAGAGATTTCTTTTACCTTATCACATGCCACACCCCACCCCACTT